CCATTGCGTCTCTTTTATAGTGGCATTGTGTATCTTTTTGCAGTTTGCTGTTGTATTTCTATTAATATTAATTAGATAATTAATTTGAAAAATTGAATCGGTAATTTAAATTGTGAGAACATTTTAAACGCCTTAATTCACTTATGATTTTAAATGATTTTAATACGACGACTGACTTTAAGAAGGTGCATTTGGTCATTTCGTTATGATTATATCGATACGAATACTCTTATTATTGTTTTTATTATTATTATTATTGTTATTCTGATTATTATTGTTGTTAATTTGATGAAATGGGATGTATTTTGTTGTGAGCGGGTTGAAAATTTTGTATTTTTATTTGTATTTTCTGTTTTTTGAAATGGAATCGATTTGATAGAATTTGTAATCAATGAATCGATTTGTAATCAATCAATCAATCAATCAATCGATTTCTTATAATAGTATTAATGCTATTCTCTCCGTTATCAAACTGCCCTAACTGCCGTTTATTTACGACGATTTTGTAGAATGTGCTGATTGTTGTACAGTTTTATCATCAATTGTATCGTTATCATTGCAGTCAGTCGTTATAATTCACTCTTATTCATAATAATAATAATTATTATTATTATTATTATTATGAATATTATTATTATTGTAACTAATATTGTGATTATATTATTATTATTATTATTATTATTATAATGATATTGTTGATAAAATAGTAATTTATCACGCCATAGAGGAGTGTATTACATTGCAATTTGAGTGGAATTGTTATCAGTTGCTTTGGTTTGTTTTGAAGACTTTTGCAGAATATTAGAGGAATATTTTTGTGTGATTTTTATAGTTTTATATTTATGACGATTATATTTCACATTTTTACATCGATGATTGATATATTTACGGATTCTTATGAAATGATTTATTTTTAATAATATTTTTCTTAAAAAAATTTTTATGATCTGTAAAAATATGATCGCTGGAACATATGATCACTTTTTATTAGTCTGATTAGAGCTATCAATCAATTGATTTTTACATTTGATCACGATATTTTTATCACGTCATTTGCTGTGTCAATCAAACGATAGACATTTGTAGTCTGATCGAGTACACTCTTATCTGTTTTCTGCTTTTAGGTATATAGCTGCAACAGCTGCAGCAGCTATATAACCGAAAGCAGTTATTTATTTATGTATTTATATTGTTATTTTTATTATTTTTATGATATTTATTACTTTTATATGATATTTAGTTATTATTTACAGTTACTATTATTTTTATTAGAGTTATTATTTCATATGAGAGCACGATGAATCAGAGTAGATGTGTATATAAGCGATGGTATCACACCACCATCCGTATTATCAGTGGTTTAGAGCTGCAGTTTGTAGGAATCGTCCAATATGAGTGAGTGTTTTCGTGTTTAATTGCTGCTGCTGCTGCTGCTGCTGCTGCTGCTGCTGCTGCATTAATTAATTGTTGATTAAGTTATTCAGTAGCAATTTGTTACTATTGTGATTATTAATTAATTGGGTGTTAATTAATTAATTATGAAAGGTATCGCTGAGATTCAAAAGTTACACGATGACCTGGGTGCGTTGAGGAAGGCTGGCAAGTATGAGGAGGCTCTGAAACACTGCACTGAAGATTGCTATTTCATGACTCCGCTCAAGTCGTCGTATAGTGCCAAAGGTATCGTTTAATCCCTTAATAATAATAATAATAGTAATAATAATAACAATAACAATAATAATAATAATACTTTTAAGAGGCCCTCGAAGTGGCTAAAAATCCCGTCGTTCAGGAGTATTCTAAGGCCGATTCGAAGGTGACAGTTGACGACGTTAAGGTGTGACTCTTTTATTTGATTCTTTAAATATTATTATAAAGTTATAAAATATAAATCATTATACTTTAAAATTTGAAGGTCACCGGCGATTTTGCAGCCGATCGAGGACATTTCGTGATCCAGAAAGACGGTGAAAAGAAGGGAAGGTAGGGACTGACTTAATTAGTTAATTAGTTAATTGATTTCTCGACTGAAATAATGAAGTTACCTGCAGTTACCTGGCAATCTGGAAGAAGGATGGCGATTCCTGGAAATTGGCTGCCATATGCTTCAACTTCACTATGGAGCAGTGAGCCGGATCGATTTTAGTGACGAGTATTATTATTATGGATTAAAAAAGTGATTATTCGTTGTTATGTTATGTTATGTGCACGAATTAAATAAATTAATTAAGTATTAATTAATTGTATCAATTATCAAGCACAAATACATTAATATTAACACTATCAACTAACATCGTAACTCACCTACTAATTCACTCACGTACACGTGCATGGAACTTTTGGAATTTTGAATTTGGAAAATTTGCATGAATTTGGAAAATTTGGAAATATTGAAATTTTTTGGGAATCTGGAAATTCTATGTGGAAAAAATTCTGTAGAGAAATTTGGAAATTTGAATTTTTCGGAACTGTTTGGAATGAAACGATCCTGTTTTTAAGGGAAATTCAAGAATAGTCGCGTAAGATAGAAAAGGTCAAGGGTCAGGATCGAGCACTGAAGGCATTGAAGATTCGAGAGATCAAGGATTCAACCACCAGAGATTAGGATTGATAAGGCAGGATCAGCGACGGAATTTGAAACTGAAGATTTGGGATAGTGGGAATGTTTGGGAATCTGGAAATTCTATGTGGAAAAAATTCTGTAGAGA